TAACCTGCTCGTTTGCCACTTCTAATATATATAATTATATTATATAAATATATATATTCATTAATGTTAAAGCTCATTTCCCAATCAAAGGACATGGTAATCTCCAACAATTCCCCTAAAAAACTTATGCGTTTTTATGTGCAAGCTACATGGAAAGTTATCAAGTCTACACCTACAAAGGGCAGATAAGTAACAGTGTTTTAAGTTTTAAGTCACCAACCAACACGTACAACTCCACTTTATTATATGCAATTTATTTTTATATTTATATTATAATATATTATATTGTAAATATTTGTTGATTTGAAAAGTTATATTTATATTTATATTTTTTAAAGTTAATGTGGTACCTAATTTTCCATATTGATATAAATTTAAGATTTATCTACAAGGTAAGGGACAGTGATTTTAAGTAATTTTTTAGCTAATAAAATTATTCAAAAGATACATTAATAGGTGGGTTAATACAAAATAGTTGCATTGATATTACCAACATTTGCCCTATCATTTTTATTTCGATACATTAATGTATTTTTCTTCGTTTTTCTTTTTTGACATAATAATGTATATTTATACATGTTTATATGATTTGTAAAGATATAAGTTGTGAAAAGTGTTACTTTTAGAGTAAATGAAAATTATTAAAAAAATAATCATTTACTTGTATATCTTAAAAAAAAAAATTTAATATGTACAATTACATTTCTAAAATAAAAATATATTAAAATTTATAGTGATACTCGTATATAAATAATTTTTAAATTTTAAATCACAAAAGTATGGACAAATTACACTGACACCCTTCAAGTTATGTCAAATCTAACCTAAATCGATAAATATTTTAATTTTAATTTTAATTTTCAGTCACATTTTGATGAGTTATCCCCATTTCATTCCCACCTTAATTATCACTTTTCATGATGTCAGAGTACTTTTATATACAAAATAATTATGTTATCCTTTTGACTTCTTATTGACTTACAGAAGGATTGTCTAATTTTTCATGACAAAAATACCCCAAGTGACTCGTAGAAGTTACTGTGTGCATGCACTCATAAGAGCCATTCTCAACAAAACCCCAATCACCAGCACCCCACCCAACCCAGCACCTCCATCACCACCGCCTCTATACCTTCCACAGTCCCTCTCTCTAGATATTACACGCATATACATACATACATACATACATACATATATATATATACTTAAATCATACTAATTAATTATTCTTTTTCCTTTTGAAATTTTTTTTTACATATATCCCTTCTTCAAGTATATAATATATTTTTCCTTTTTCTAATTTTGTTTCCTTTTTCAAATTTTTCTTTTTTTTCACTTATGTATATTTTTATTTTTTTAAACTTATTTCTTTTTATCAATGACATTTGTGATTGTATTTAATTAAAATATTATTAATTAATATTTTGATTCTTATATTTGTAACTATATTTTTTTTACGATATTTATTTAGCATATTATTTTACAACTATTTTTTTTCTTATTTGTCTTTTTTATTTAAAAAAAATTATATTGTCATATTATTAAAAAAATTTAACAAGTGTATTGTGACCCATTTGAAATAAAATCCTGACTTCGCCTCTGCTATAATCCGTTATTGATCGTGTTCGCGTTGTGTAACATATCTAGGTAAATATTGGTATAAATCGGCCGATTCACCAAAGTGTATATCAATATTGTAAGACGTATAGATTAATTCACAAAAGTGTATAAAATTTGACTGTTAACAAACCAATATGGTGATAATAATCCTCAATCAGTTCATCATTTTATGGTCCAAGAAATCCTAAAAATTACACCACCAACTATAAAATTTAATAAATTTGGACTAAATCATCTACAATATATATTGATATTAATTCTTAATTTTGAAAACCTGCATGATAAGTACTATGTAATTACTTATATACATCAGTTGCTTAAAATTTCATAAAAAAAAAAAACCTCTTTAAAGATGTTAGTTTTAAATTAATTCTGGGGCGATGAATTGCTGACAAGGACAGGTTAGATCAACATTAGTCTACCTCATATCCTTTTAAAATGCGACTCATTGAATTGTCATGTCACGTGGAATCAAATGACCATCACACACATATTTCTTAGGGTAGCCTCTGTTTGTCTTATTGCGTATGCTACCACCATATAGAGTGAGGACTATTCTTAGGGCAAATCGTTTCAGCCTCCCCAATCGCCCCCATCTCTATTCTCGTTCTCTCTTTCTCTCTCTGTGCAACTACAAACTACAAAATCTACAAGAAGTTCAAAACCGTAGATATTTAAGTTTATCTATCTGTCTGAAAGAGTGAAAAGTTGAAATCATATTACCTATATCAAAACCCATATAATTTCAGATTGTTCAAAAAATCAAAACCCATATCTTTCAGTTTTCATTGCCTGCTGTTCCAGTTCAGGTTCGCCCTTCCCAAGCTTCAGCCCGCTGTCTCTCAACTCTCGAGCTTGCCCCCCTCTCTATCTCCAACTGCTAACTTTGTAAGTATTTTAATTTTTTCTAAATCAACTAATCAAGCTCTGCAATTCTTGTTTTGCAAACTAAATCCTATTTGGTGAAATTTTTTATCATCTTTTTTATATAAATTTTTTATCATCTTTTTTATATAAATATTTTTATTAATGGTGGTAATCAAAGTCCATTTCTTCTGCAATATTTTTTTATATAAACTTGAATCTAGGCATGAAACAGATAAAAAAAAAATCATAACTAGAACTTTGACAACCAAAAGTACTAACACTTACTAAAAAACATATTTTTGAGTGAATTCTAGATAGTTGGAAGAGGCTTGCGGTGAACTACCTCACACTGTGCTTCCACTTCCACTAGTAGATTCTCAAATAGGATTAGTAAATTGGTCAAAAGAAGAGATAGGGTACTGAGTTGTGAATTGTACAGAAATGGTAATTTTTTTTTATATTAATTACCCAAATAAGATTTTCTATGCCTTAATCAGTCAATTGTCTGAAGAAACATTGTTAATTAACTAAAATTAAATTAAACAAAAGTTTATTTGGTTGATATATTTTGATTTAGCCCTTTCCATTGAGAAATCCTGAAGGACATATTCAATCTTTCTGCCATATTTTTATTTTCAATTTTGGTTTTTGGATTTTCTATTATTATTAGAATGCAGAATACGAGAATATTAATTTGTTAATTTTGAAGGTTATTAATAAACTGATACATTATACTTTAATACATTATACTTTGTTATTGGATTAATTTAACACAAGAGGAGAGTATAATATGTGTTAATCCCACCTTTTTCTATGGATAGGTGTCCAACATTTTGACTGAAAGTATAGTTGGGTTGGGTTGATACATGATGCAGATAGTACTTGGATGGTGGTATTTTAATTGTTAGGAGTAAGATTGTGAAAATTCTTCCTCATAACTTTGTATTTTCTTATTTTTAGGATTGACATTGGGCCTTAACAAACAAGGTTTAAGAGACATGCCTCATCAGTCATCAGGTAACAAATTCTTACTTGTTTTTTTAAATTTTAATTAACATTTTTAATTATTGGTTACGTTTATTTATTCATGTTTTATAAATTAATTTTTTACAATTTATTGATAAGAATTAAAGACTTTGAAGTTTAATAAGTTTAATTTTTAATTTTAAAATTTATGTTTTACAAGTTTATTAACGTTTTTAAAATTTTTCTATTTTATCTTAATAATATAGGTGTCTTTTCTGAAAGAAGAGTGTTGATTGAGAATGGGTGGAGTTGGCAAAAATGAAAACACACAACAGAAAACATCATCCTTCACATTTCCAAGACTGCTCCGTCTTTTCTTCTCATCATCATCTGAGGGTGAGTAATATAACAGCAGATAATGGGAAGAAGAAAAGGGGTAGCATTTATATAAGAGGAGAAGAGGGAATCCATAATGAAAAAGAGTTTTCATTGAATAGAGAGGAAAAGTCTTGGAGATGTGAAGAATACTTGAAATGGTGTGGTGTGGTGAAGAAGACACCATTTCTGGGTTTGAGAAATTAAGATCACTCTCAAGTGGAGATTGGCAAAGTGAAGAAGACGACGAGATAAGTCTTAGAGATGTGAAAATATATATTTAAAGTTGAGGTCTCCAGATAAAAAAAGTAGGATGTAGAGAAAAGAAGTACGGTACCTGCAAATATATGAAGGGATAGATTATTACAATACAACCAAGTAATAGCTGGCCACTACTTTTGATACGCAATGCTGTGGTCGTGTATATATATCATCTCAGGAGTTTGTTTAAAGGAAGAGTCAAATAGCAACGAATGTATGGAAGCAGTTTGAGTTACTATTATTGCAACTACCAGGCCATAATAATTAATTTTGACGGAACCAAGAATTCAATTGAATGATAGCTATTGCAAAAATAATAAGATAAAAAAAGGTTGTAGATAATTTCCAATTCCAGAGCCTTAATGATGTTACCAAATACAACATCCATGATTTTTTAATAAAAAATCAGATTTTTATACAAATTGAAAAAAAAAAATTGTATCTATTTAAATAGCACTATTATACAAAAAGAAAATAAATTTAACTGTATATGTTTGCATTATAGTGTATTCCTTATTCCCTCTTACAATGATTCAATTAATGTTAGTAAATTTTCATGTGTGTGAAGGTTGTGAACTATTTATACCCAGTAAATCCAAAAATCATTTGTTGTGTGTTTTTTTTTTTGGAATTTTAAGCAAATATTATAAATATAAGAAATGTTTACATGTGAAGGCCAATTGGCCAGGCATCCCCTTTGGGGAGAACAAGCCCAATTTGGACCAATACACAGTGTAGCCCAGGCCCATCCTACTGCCTACCCATACATTGAAGCGAAAAACCCATACTGTTTAAGCCCAGAGACGAATAACCATAATTAACGGTTGTTAATGCACGTTAATGGTGGTTATTTGCCAAAGCAGTCCGGTGATTCTAGGGCAATGATTCCGGCGACTGAGCCGGAGCTTTCTTCAATCTGGTGGACGCGGCGGAGGACGACAACATGAGGGGGATAGGTTCCATTCTGAAAGAATTCTTCTCGCTGTGGAGCAGTCTTGCAGAAAGCCAAGCTTTAGAATTGCAATGATGGTGGAACAAATCCGAGCGAGGACGACCCTCTGAGAAGCTCTCTTCTTCGTGAAGATTCTTTCATTCCTTTCTTCCCAAATGTGGTACACAGTGGAAGAGAAGCATACCTTCCTAAGCAGGTTTGGGACCGATTTTGCTTTCTATCTTTCACTGATGTAAAAAATTAATTCCTCCCAATTTGTGATAGTTGTATAGAATTGACTTTTCTCCTTGATAAATCGCCAAATTGGAGAAGTGAAACAACATTTGAAAAATAGATGTTCATGTGATTCAAGCTGATTTTGACAAAGAGCACAAGCGTTGGTGTGTTTTCTCATTGATCTGCTATCCAATGTAGGCAACCTTGATTGCACAGCCAGCCATAGGTTTAGCTTCATTCTAGGTATGATTGGTGAGGACCATACCAGATTGTGCCAATGGACTTGAGGATATTGCCCTTGAAGGAAAGAAGTTGTGTGACTTAGGCTAAACATACCTGTTGAGGAAGCTGTCCATCTCTTCTTGTCTCTCCTGGTTGGGAGTGGAGGTTGGAGTTGCAGCAATTCAGGGATGGAGGTTATGATGTCTGATGGAAAAGACCAAGTCGAACCAACAATAAAGTTGTCCATTGTGGTTTCATGACTTAAGCCTGCTTGTGTGAGAATTGTTGTGGGAAATCTAGAACAAAGGGGTCCTCCTGGAGCCCAGTTGTCCAACCAAAAGGAAGTGTCTGTCCCATTGCCAATAGAGTGCTTTAAGAGAAGTCTAGCCGGATGTCTTAGTTGCAGCATCTTCCTCCAGCTCCAAGAGCAAGAGTGAGGAATATTGAGCTCCCATAGATTCCTACTCTTTATGAGGTGAGTGTGACACCATTGAATCCAAAGTCTGCCATTAGTATCTGTTTGTAAATCCCAAATGAACCTCATAATTCCAGCCTTGTTTGCCAATTCCAAGTTTGGAATCCCCAACCCTCCATCTTCTTTTGGTCTGCAAACCTTCCCCCATGACACTTTAGCTCCAGTTGATCTCATTTCAGGGCCAGTCCAAAGAAATGATCTTAAAATCTTGTTAAGTTCATTGATCACTGCTTTAGGGAGGATGAAAATACTTGACCAATATATTTGTGTTGAGACTAGGACAGCCTTAATGAGTTGTAATCTGCCTGCATAGGAAAGTGACCTAGAGGACCAATGTGATACCCTTTTGGTGATTTTCTCAATTAAAAGGCTGCAGTGGGATGACTTTAGGCAAGTGGAAATCAAAGGTACTCCTAAGTACTTGACTGGGAGAGAGCTTGCTTCAATTCCTAGCAATGAAATAATGTTGTTCTGAGTGAGTAGGTCCACCCCAGAAAAGAAAATTGTGCTTTTGGATGTATTAATGTCAAGACCAGACATTGTACTGAAGTAGTCCATTGCTGACTTGATCACTGACACTGATGTAGTGTCTCCATGGCGAAAGAGAAGCAAGTCATCAGCATATGATAGGTGAGTAATCTTTAGTTCTCCACATCTCCAGTGGTATCTGAAAGCCTCAGCCCTGCTCACAAAAATGTTGATGATAGAGGACAGTGCATTCATCACAACAAAAAGAAAGGGGAAAATAGGGTCTCCCTGTCTTAACAAAAAGACAGTGCTACCAAACACTGTTTGCATAATAGATTCTTCCCTTAAAGTTGTGACACATAGAGAGATGCATAGAAAGAGATAAAGAGAGAGAAAGCAAAGATTCGTAACTTTAATTTTTGGTGATGAGGAAATATTGTACTTTTTTAACCGTTCAGATCTGCCGGCAAAGAGAGAGAGAGAGATATAGGGTGAGAAGAGGACCGTTTCAGATATATAAAGCCGGAAGATACCATCTACATCAATTCTCATCAGATACATCATTCCTTTTTTAGGATATCCTCCTCCTGTTGTTATGTTTTGGAAGGACGGAACTTGAGTTTAGCAAGTAGAGATAACCATCGTCATCAAGATTGAGGGTCACGTTGTTTCCTACTCCATCCGTTCCAGACGCCCAGTAAGCCATACTGGTTGTGCGCAGATTGTCATCCGCGTACTCACAAGTTCTCATCCCCTTGCATCACGAGAAGAAATATTCCCTTGGAGTGGTCAGTTTCCGAAGCGCTAGAGAACAAATCTGCCCCGTTTGAGAGGCGCTAACAGGGCAAAAGTGTGTTGGTTGGGTGCTCAAAGCTCTGCCATATGATCTGTTGATCGGAGTTATAGAGGACAAAAGGACAAAATTGCCAGAATCAAGCATGGAAGCCGAATAAGCAGGTTGGTCAAGCATGGAAACCGAGCTCTCATGGGTCTGTTTCCTATCTGTCTCTTACCTCTTAAAGATTGACAAGTCTCTTATCTCTTAAATATTGACATGTGTATGTGAGTACTAATTAAAAAAAAAATAATAAATAAACACAGTTGTCTTTGGTGAGGTACTTGGTAAACAGTGCCCGCGACTATACAGCGACTTCAGTCCAAAAAAAAAAATCTAGGAAAAAAAAAATTAGTGTTGTCTTCGTTGTGGTTCCTGGTTGAGTAAACAGTGCCTGAGACTATACATCGACTTCAGTCCAAAAAAAAAACAAACAAAGACAAAAGTCGAGTCAATAAGCGAGGAGGCCCTTCTCGCTCAAGCTCAAGCATTCTGATACTACTTGAACAAAATTAGAGAAACATTTTAAGAAAAAATCTAAAATGATTGAAGTTATGACACGTGTCGTCGTTATAATGTCAAGTCTATGACAACTAATATAGGGCACTACAAAATTACCCTACCTCACCTCCTTCCGGTGTCTTTTGCCCTTTTCAACCTTGTAAGATACAAGAAATAGATTTAGGATCACGCACATGTGATCCACTTTTGCTTTTTTGGGGTGTTGTACACTCAATCAATACATCCAAATCAATGTTCTAACAATTCATCCACCTCGGCAATACTCACTGCACAATAAATTATAGCTCACACATGCTTTTTTGGCCAGTCCATGTTCTATACATGAAATGATTTTAAGAAATTTTTTAGCTAATAAAATTACTTTAATAGGTGAGTTAATACAAAATATATTATATTGATATTAATATTTACATTTAACATTTGTCCTACCATTTTTATTTCGATACATTAATATATTTTTATACATTTTTCTTTTATGACAGAATAATGTATTTTTTATACATGTTTATATTATTTGTAAGCTCTAACTTGTGAAAAGTGTTACTTTTTGAGTAAATGAAAATTATTAAAAAATAATCATTTATTTGTATATCTTATGTTCTTTTTTTTTTTTAAAAAAGAATTTAATATGTACAATTGCATTTCTAAAATAAAAATATATTAAAATTTATAGTGATACTCATATATAAATATTTTTAAAATTTTAAACAATAAAAGTATGGGCAAATTACACTGACACCTTTCAGCTTAGGTCAAATCTAACATAAATTGATGAATATTTTAGTTTTAATTTTCATTCACATTTAAAAGAGTTATCCCTATTTTACTCACCCCCTAAATCTCACTTTTCATATATGTCACAGTACTTTTACATACAAAATGATTATGTTACCCTCTTGACTTCTTATTGATTGACAAAAGAATTGTTTAATTTTTTCATGAAAAAAATAACCCAAGTGACTCATAGAAGTTATTGTGTGCATGCAGTCATGATAGCCATTCTAAACAAAACCCCAAGCACCACCACCTCTATACCTCCCTTACTCTGTCTATTGCACTCATGTACATACATACATACACACACACACACATATATATATATATATATATATATATATATATAGTTAAGTCATACTAGTTAATTATTCTTTTTGTAGAAACTGTTTTAAATGTAGTCTCGTAGATTTATCACGGATCAACAGAACATATATCTCTTAAAATAAATGCATATATATATATATATATGTGTGTGTGTTGATATTAAAAATACTACTTTCGTCTTAAATTAAATGTCATGTCTAGAAAATCGTGACTTACATTATTTTCTAAACAGTTTTTTTTTTTTTTTTTTTTTTTTTTAAGGATGGAAGGAGTATCAATTTAGTCGAAGGCTCACTTAAAATGCCAACAACTACCAACTACCAAATCAAGGCACTTTCTTTCTGTTATTATGTTTCTAACCTTGTTTATGGTTATAATAATGAGAAGTACTTTTCTTTTTTGGGGGATTTACATATCTTATTACTAAGCAATTTATTTTTATTATTTTATTATTATTAATATTATTACTATTATTATTAGTTATTTAAATTAATATTATTATTGACATTGTTTATTATTATTAGACAAAATTGTAAAAAATTCTCTAAACTATTGATTAGTTGCCAGATGACCCTTGAAGGGTATTATGGGTATTATACATTTATGATATTTTATATAAATTAATAAATTGAGGTATTTTGATAATTTTGACCTGAGCTTCGAAAAATGTGATCCGATTAGGGTTGCAAGTTGGGCTGGTCTAATTCAGCCCACGCCCAACCCAACCTCAAACTCGAATCGAGTTGGGTTGAGCCAATTCGAATTGTACCCAACATGAATTATGGTCGAAACCCAGTTCGAATATTTTCTGGCCAATCGGGTCGGGTTGACGAGTTAAGTTTTTTTTTAAAAAAAATATTTTTCGAAAATTTATACATATTTAATTATATTATTATTTAAAAACAAAATTTTTTTTAGGGCAAATCATTTCAGCCTCCCCAATCGTTGCCAGGTATCATTCTCAACTCTCTCTCTCCCTCTGCAACTGCAAACTACAAAATTTACAAGAATCAAAAGTTTTTTTTTTTTGATTCAGTGACTTGATGAGCGACAAAAATCTGTCCGGCCATTATTTATATTCTTTCAATTTTATTCACATATTTTTTGCTCCAGACCCATAAAATAAACTTTCCTATTTTTTGAGTTCCACAGGTGGATGTGCCATCTTGGTTTGTTGCTTTGATCCTTGAGAACTGCCAACTTCCATTTCCAAAACATGGGCATGCTATTTTAGCAAATCTGTCACCCATCTTATTTTATCAAATCAGTACTACTAAGATTCGCTGTTTGTAGGCGCCGGTGGGGACGACGACAGAGACAAAAAGAGAAAGAAGAGAGAGGGAGAGAGAAAGGAGAAAAAAAAAAATAATAATTTTGAATTTTGGGTTGGGTTTGGGTTGAGCTCGGATTCAACCCGAATATGTCTGAATTTTGACAAAACCCAATCTGAACATAAGCTCGATTTGTGAATTATATGTTCAAATTTTAAAATTTATAGGTTAGAGTTGGGCTCTACTAGGACTAGGTTAACTCGTCCAAGTTACAACCCTAGATCTGATAATCGAAATGAACCTTTTTATAACATTGGTATTGATACAGGTTTGATTTGTAACCCCAAATAGTTCATAAGAATATTTTTTTACTTGTAATTCATAGATTTATTTGCTCTTTTATCTATAAACTCTTTTACCATATTATCTGCACCTATATTTTTATTTACTTTCCTGATGTATGTAGTGTTTGAAGAATGACTATAACATTTTTTAATAATATTGTATCTTTGCACTGATTGCATGAAGGCTAATCAATCACTCTGCCAACCTTCTGCTCCACAACTCAGTAATCAATGAAGAAGCAGTAAATATGATGTGAAGTATTTATCGGTTTTGATTCACAGAAGATCAGCATTCATAGACAAAATCTTCTAGTACTTTATATGCTGACTTCAGCAATAAATATCATACTGTATGAGTCAGCACCACGTGAGGAAAGCAGAAAATATTGTCAGTACGAAAATCTTCTAATACTTTAGGCCTTATTTGGATTAAATTTTAGCGAACAGTCTCAAAAACAACTCTTAAAAATAATTTTTAGAGAATAATTTCTAATTTTTTTAAGTTTCAAAAGAGAATTTATAAAACAATTTTTAAAAAATAAAAACTTATAAAATTACTTAGTTGTATTTATTGAAAATAATTTTATGAATTAAAAAAATTTTACATAATTTTACAGCCAAGAAGAAAATTTTGATAGCCAAATTAAGGATTGCATTAAGTAAATATTATTATATTATTCTTCACAAAAGTCCTTCATGGACTACAAGAAAATTTTAATGGGACATATGATTAGATCTAGTTGAAGACAGACAAATCTTCACAGAATTATTTTTATTATTATTTTTTTTTTCTACCACAAATCAATACTAATAATATTATTATTCATAAACAAAATCCATACAATCAGAGTTAATTGCAATTACAAAATTATTTATTTTTTTGTCTATATGCACAATATTAATGATTATTATTATTATTTTTTTTTTTCGGACTAACACTAAATTAATCACTTAGAAGGTAGTATTAAATAAACACCTTTATGGACTATTGGAGAACATGAATTGAAATATGTTTGGTAAGTACATAAATTTCATTCTAAAATCAAATCCTGTGTAATCCTATTCTTTCAAACAGAGCGTGACTGCCAAATTTGATTAATATGAATCCAATTTTCTTAAAATTAGCTAAAATGGATACAACAAGTTATACATACCAATGCAAGTCGTACATATATATATATA